CAAAGTCTGTATGTCTTCCTTTTCTCGATGTGCAGTTTCATGATGCGAATTCAAAAAATATGAAATTACTGCCACCACGTTTTTTTTTTTGTATATGATGCCTTGCCGAAACTAGATTACGACATTAAAATTGTATGTTTCCGGCCGGGCGTTATTATTAGAAGAGGGTTGCTTTTCACTTTTTGCTCTCATCGGATTATCAAGTAGCTATATAAACGATATATCCGCACCGAATGTAAATATTATTTTAATCAAGAGATTCTTCATTAAATTTAATAAATTTGGAAAATGTTCAATAGTCTTGTTGGCAAGTGTTTTGTTTAGCTGGCATAACAAAAGAAACCCGCAAAATATTCATGAATACGAAGGAAGCCAAAAATTTATGATGAAATAAGGTCATTATTTAGTTTAATTTATTATTTGCTTGCGTTTGAAAATAGATTTAATTTTCAAGTGTAATGAAAAACCGATATTTGTAGATGAGGTTTTCGTGGATGCATTTATATTGAAAATTTATGTGGACACAATTTCAACCGTAAATGAAGGTGAACATCGGTTTTAATTACTGCACGCAATTTATTCGTTCGCTATTTGCCATGTGGAAAAGGTGAGATGTACACAATGTCGCAGAACACATTTTGGATACACTTTATGAATTATCGAAATGAATAACAATGTAACAATCCGGTGCTTTTGAAGAACTTTTTATTGTGAGTGAAATAGATATATGTATAGAAAAAGTGTTTTGTTTATTCAATAGAATTTACATTTAATGCGATGGAATGAAGAAATTTTCTTTGTTTTCAAGTCAGATGTGAAAGACTAAAATAGCTTTTGGATTATAAGCAGCGCGGTGGGGAACATTGTTGGCGAAAAATGAGCGTAGTCAAAGTAGATAATGCGGACTCAGACATGCATAAAACACGAGCATAGTTAAATATATTAGTAGGAGTCAAAGCCCTTCGCACCATCACAACATATCCGAGAGTTAAATGCTCTGCGCTGGTAATTATTAATTAACGAGATTTAATGCTTTTGTTTGAAACGTCTCTGTTGCCTTTTTTCCCATATAATACCGAATTCTTCTTAAATTCACGTTCCACGGCTCACGTTTTTCATCCACGATAAAATATTTTCGAGTTTTTCTACGAACGCTTAACATTTTCTTTGGAAATACAGAATAGGTTGGTTGGGATGCATTTAAAAATATACCAAAATCATTGTGATTTTTTCGACAAACAATTTTCATCCATCGATCCATTTTTTGAGCGTGCAAAACATTTTTCCGCCATCGTATTTGCAACATTGAAAAACTCAAAGCGGGCACAACAACAAAAAAATTCGAACCATAATGAAATTTGATGTAAAATTTATATATATAATAAGTAGAGGTGTTTAATTATAACATTTTTGTGATGCCACGCGTATAATGAAATAACAAAATAAAAACATGGCGAAAAAAGACAAAGAATGCGGGCACAAAAACGAAAGGAACACACAAAGAGAAAGAGAAAGAGAGATATGCAGGCAGAAAGATGGAAAATGCGTTAATTTGAATCGTGAGCATCGTTGTGGAAAACATCTCTCTCGTCAGTACGTCGTTCAGTCTTTTCTAAAGTATTTCACCGTTGTTGGTTTGATTGTCAACGCAAAGTGTAATGATTAAAGTGAAAAAAACACACATATACACAAAAAATCCAATGCTAATTAAAAATTATCGCTTTTGAATAATGAGCAAACTGTTCTTTCCGCACTCAGTGTCTGTGTTTGCCATTTATGCAACATGGAACGGAAGAAAAAGTAAAACACAACCAAAATACGAAAAACCATTCTCGCATAATAATTATATTTTCCTATTTTTATGGCGATAAGTTTTGTGTGAGATTGTGTAACATCACGTGAATGTCTCATGTCCGTCCTGCAATGGTAATTAAATTAGTTTTAGTTGAACTTATCAACATAAAAAAAACTCTCTATTGGTTTGCATGCTTTTCACAATTGTGTCACATTCTCTCTGTTCAAAATTGTTGCTGTAAATCCACATTTCGACAAAATTTTATGCAGTGCAAAAACCTCGAAGAGCATACAAACATCTATAATTTGTATATATAAAACAAGATTAAAACTATCTCGCATAATGAAATCATGACCTGTGCGCATATTCGTCTTCGCCATTAAACCCAAAATATAAGTTTACGCTCAAACTGAAAACTACGACACAGAATGAGACACATACACACACCCATACACATACATAAAAATAAAAATAAATAAATTCCAAACAAACGAAACAATGAGCACAAGTTTTTTCAACTTTGTTCACTCACTATGCTCTCAGTTCAGTTCACTCACCCTCTTTTGGTGCACGCTAAAAATGTGGAAAGTTTTCTGGTATTTTCGCTTCGTTGCAAAACTGTTTCGCTCATACTTCAGTTATCCTAATTAAAATGGTTTAAGCATCTTTCGCTACAGCTACTTCTGGTGCTGATGCTGCTTCCTCCTTGTGTGTGTGTATGTGTGTATTTTGTTGATGCTCCGACACAAATTTTCACTATTTTCATAATTGTTGTCGCCGCTCTTGTTAGGGCCAACATTTGTTACAATACAGGGCTGTAAAATTGAATTGATTTTCTCATCGCATTTTATGGCATTTAGAAAAATTCAAACCGAAACTCCGGTCGATGGCTAAGATTGAGAGAGGCAAAGTGAAAGAGAATTATGAGGAGAAATATCGAGCACAAGTGGCGAGCACTAGAGTAGAAATGGAGAATTTTAAATGTATGACTTCAGTGATAATCCCTATGCAAATACATGTATATAAATATTACACAAGTATAAAGTATCCATAAAGTGATAGATCTTCATTTAGATGTTAGACGCGTACAGCTGAATGTGATGATGATAAGTTTGGGGAGAGAGAGAGAGGTGGAGGTGAGAACTGGAGTATGGGTGAGATTGAAACCAAGTAGAGGATGAATACGGACAAAAGTGACAAAACATCTTATCATTTTAACCATAAGGGTGCCATTTTACTTTAATTGAATAACCCCGAAAACCATGTTTCGCTTCGATGCACATCTCTTGAATGCTCCACTACTACAAACGCTACACACGGTTGCCGTTGTGATGCGGTACCGATGTTGAATCTCTTGCTGTTGCCATTGCTGCTGTTGTTTCCATTCTCTCCGCATTCGATGTATTCATTTTCGATTAATTATTTTACCATGACTCTCGCTTCAAAAAGCAAACACACTGAAAGTTCACCGAAACAGCTCTATGCTTCCGTAGTCATAATTGAAATGACAAAATTCAAACTATAAAACGAAATGATAATGTAAAGTCAAATGCGTAACAACAAATTTTCGAGCAAAAAAAAAATTGTTTCGCCCTCTTTTCACTTCAAAAGTGGAATTGAAAAAACGCTCTCGCCAAGCCACTGCGGTAAGGACTGTGTACGCCAAGTCGCATTTTTGTGTCTACATTTTAGATTCATTTTAATTGCAAACACTGAATATAAACCGAATGAAAGGTTGTTAAATTTTTTCTTTGCTTCCTTGATATCCAATTAACCATCATCTTAATGAACACCTTTGTAACAATTTTCAGCCAAATAAATGGGAAAAGCAATGATAACCGTCGAACAAGAAACGATTTTTCGTTACTTAACAAGGAAGTTTCGTTATATGTATCGTGAGGAATGAAGGAAAAGAAATGCTTGGCACCCTCTTGAAAATTGCTATCACGGACATTTTTTACCGAATTCAATAGACACTGAAATTGTTACTCTCTCGGTTGCTTATGATGATTTCCTACCTTTATCACGATTTACCGTTAGCAACCGGGCCCTCTGCCCGACCAACATTTCAAGTACAATCACACATAAGTGCATATCCAAAACGTGAACAGAGCATTATTTTCGTTCGATTGCTCACTTGGCATTGCTTTTTCGAGTCCAACATTTCACTCGTTTTCATTCGAAGTGTCGTAAATATTTTGCACGTTCGTCAGCATTCATTCGATGCTTTTCGTCGAAAAAAACACACTCACCAAAGTATTTTGCATATTTAAACCTGATGCCTAATGAATACCGTTTCCAATAGATTTATAGGATTTTTCTGCTCATTCACAGATTGAGAGAGAAAAGAATAATGTATTATAGATCTTGCGGTTATTTGTTAAAATGTGGAACAAATGAAACCAATTTTAAATATTATTCTATAAAAAACCAACTGATTTTCGATTCACAGGTATTTCAAGTTTTCTCAAAAAATCCAAACTATTCTTCAGTTTACATATGATTACTCAGCACGCGTGAATCATTTAATTATGCTTACTTTCTATACGTAAATGAATTGGATATCATTTAAAATGAGTACCAGTGACGATATTTAACGTCATTTTGAATTTTTTTGATAAAATTATCATTTTTAATTGCCACAATTTTTGGCGTTTTTTAGATTGCAGAGAGTAAAATCTAAAATTTATCAAATGATTCAAAGTACAAGAGTATACTTTTACGTCAACGTAAATAAATCCATATCAACAAAGAATCAGTTTTAGTGTGATAATATATAGAACAAAAATCGCTTGTTAAAGTGATTCAGGCGATTTGATCTAGGTGTTAAAATGTCTATCTACAAATTTCACAGTTGTATGGTAGCTAATACACGCTAATACACAAACAGAAATCGAAGAAACGTCACACAAAAGAGAATGCAAAAAATTGTTACTGTGTTATTTTATGTTAGTAATAAATGTACAACAAAACGATACTAATCGTGTTCGGAGCATACACAAATGAATGAATGAGTGTGGTTTAAAGTCAAGTTCAATGCCCACAGCTGGTAAAAGATATTACATCCAAAAAAATTGGCATAATAAGAAAGTGAATCAATAAGTCATCAAAATTCATGAGAAGCATGATGATTCAGAAAAAACTCATGAATCTGGTTTTTTGTTTGCCGGTCCATTTATATATTCGTTTAGTTTGCAATCCAACTCTCGCCGGTTCACTTCGTAGTGGTCGCAGTTTTTAAGTTGAAATAATGAAATTGTTTATCGTGTTGATTGTTTTCCTGGGCGCAGTCTCAGCCGGTATTTAATGAATATTTTCTTAATGAGATCAATATTTTTAAAAATACAAAGAAAAGTGTCTGATTTAATTAAATAATTTCGTTTAATTTGCTGTTTAATTAGGTGAAAAGGAAACTTTTCTCAAAAGATTCAGAAATTATCTAAAAGATGTCTGGGATGACGTTGCGACTATTACTGAAGACGCTGGTGTTGTAGTGAAATTTATTGATAGGCAAGTAAACAAATATTTATTATCTAACTTGTGATTTAATTGTCAGTTTCAACGATTAGTTTTGAAATAATTGGTCCAAAAGTATTAAAAACTGTATAAAAATGTTTTAACAGCTATCCATTATTACATGCAGCCTCAAAGGGTAATTTATATACTCTATCTCTAAGAACTATGTTTTGTAATTGATTTTTTTTAAATGTTTATAATGATAAATAGGTGACATAGAAGCGGTCGAGAAAAAATTAAGCAATAAAAGGTTTCACGTGGATTTCACCACTCCAGATCTCACGACGATGTTGATGGAAGCTTCCGCTTTTGGTATGCTATGATTCGATTTAATGAAATAAAATTGTATACATTTTTTGCTTTTTTTGTATATCAGGTAAATATGACATGGTTAAGTTATTAATTGATCGCGGGGCTCATGTAACACATTCCAATAAATATGGATTTACGGTAACGATTTTTAAACAAACTCATTTACATTAAATTATTCTCCCTTCTGCTACAATTTAAAAAAAAAAAAACATTCTTGCAGGCCTCTGACTATGCCAAAAAAAACGGTAACGATTTTTAGACAAATTCATTTACATCAAATTATTCTGCTACAATTTCAAAAAAAAAAAAAACATTCTTGCAGGCCATTACAACATTGTGCAATTATTAGAGAACAAAGATACTGAAATGGTACTTTATGAACCACTAACTAATGGTAATTTTTCATTTTTCAATTGATTCATCTATATTCGTTGATATTTGTATTCTTCCCAGATGCAAGACGTTTAACAAGCAACAGCGGAGCTACAAATGAACAAAATTTTATGCATATAACTTTCCTCACTCTATTAATGTATGCCTTTGCCCGTGTTTTTCAGTGAATAAAAACATTTTATTGATAATTTTATATAGCCGTATATCCGTTGTTTATGTTTTTATTCAACTATTTTGTAGAAATGCATCAAATATTGATGATAATATCTATGGCTGTGTTTCTATAATTGCCATTTTTGTTATCGTATATTTTATATTCGCTGCACACATTTTTGTTTTGTTTTATCTTTCATATATTCTATTTATAAAGTAGATAATGTAATGTACGCAAATAATAAAAATGCTTTGAATGAACGGCATTTTATTCAAAAATCTATAAAATAATAATGAGAATTATGGTGGTTTCTTTAGGATTTTCCATTGAACTATTAACGAATAAAATGTGTATTTTTTATTTCCGAGATCATCCACCGCTGATATCAGAGATAAAAGAATCATCTAGTAATGCTGCTGTGTATTTCAGCTTTTGAATTGAATATTCTTTAGGAAACAATCAAAAGCGGTGTGTTTCAAAGATACCAGTAAGCAGTCACATGCATATTTATACCGGAGCCACAATTTGAGAATTCGAGAGAAAAAAAATGTTGTTTTTTTTTACCTTTGGCACAAAATGCATGCTGAATTATTTAGATATATGTATGAAATTTGTATTCCATCAATGCGAACGCCATTTCCGAAATGCGCTGGCAGTAAGTCTCTCGGGTATTTCGTTAGTTCGTTCGCTCCATTCTCTTTCTCTTTCTCTCTCTCACTCAAAAAAAGTATGCTTTTCGATTTAATATTAATGTGAGTGTAAGTATGAGATGTACGCAATATGAATGCCGTAAAGTATTTGGAATATGGGCCACAAATTCATATCTTTCGAGTGAATATATTCAAATGTTTTCATGTGGATTCTTTAGCCAAGTGGAAAACGGCATTACTGGATGCGAAAAAACCGATGGCGATGCTGCTGCTATCAAAGAACCTGGATAATTTATATTTTCCGCAGAATTTTATATACACTCATCAAATGAATTTATAATTGCATGCAAATGCAACAACAAGCACTAAAAAGAATCGAAAGACGAACATTTCTCTTTCATTGAGAGAAATAGAAATAAAGAGAGAAAGAGAAAGAAGGGAGAGAAAGACACACACACAGAGAGAGACAGAGATATTGAAAGCGAAGCGCCATGTATGCATGGCAAATCTATGGGTTTATGGCAACGCTCTCAACCATGTTTTGAATTAGCCAAAATGCCTGGAATCATATTTGTGTGTTCAATGCATACAGTCTGTTCCGGTATGTCGAAAACAACATAAAATATTAAAATCAAGCCGAGCTCGTTTGCACACACACACACAAACATGCCGTATAATAATACAGAATCGTCCGCACCTTTTGTGCACTGAATATCGCAAGAAATAGTTTATTTATTCCTTTTGTGGACAATTTTGAGCTTTCCGTTTGAGCTCTTTTTTCCGGCTCTCTCTCTCTCTCAATCTAGATATTTCTCATTTAGTTTCCTCTTTTTGTTCGTTTCCGTTCCATTTTCTGCATTTGTTTGTCGTTTGAAAATCACATTTTCTCCGGATTGCATTTTAACCATTTTATTGGATATTGAGAAATACCCAACGGCATTCAAAATTTACTTGTCTCTTGTTTGTCATACTATTTAAAGAATGTATTTGAGAGCATTTGATCCGACAGTGTGGTAAATATCGAACGACAAAGGATTTCAAAGTCTCATCGTTGATATGAGACGGATAGTGGGAAAAAATAACAATGAGAACATTTTATATTTGCAATTCAAACAAAGCGTCGTATCAATATGAGCAATATCAAAGGTTCTCTTCTTATATGAATCCATTTTCCGATGGAAATAGCAAAAATGTTCGTGTTTATAGAGGCGTTTTATTCTTGGAATATATTAATTTAAATCTGGTTAAACACATTTTACCGAAGCAAAATGTACCGAGAGAATCACTAATAGACGCTTGCTTATTTCTCCAAAGATGAAAATAGCTCTTGCTATTTCCGCTTCAAATTTAAGAAAAATCCATTCGCTACTGTATACAAATATAGATCGACGCATTGCATCTGATTCCATTATCTCACAATTAGTTACTAATCTGATTCAAGTCTGTAAGATCCTCGCATGAATTCATTATTTTGATGTTTGCACAGTTTGCTGTTCTTTTCACATGCCTCATCATACCATCGCCCATAATACACCATGTTGGTACTCATGATTGACGATAGCGCATTTTCCCTCCATCTAATGCTATTTCTTTATTCAGTTTTCTTCATTGTTTACACAACGAATGCTTAAAAGACAGCGTATACGCTATACGTTATTATATAAAACTATTTACTGGTTTTAGTTAAAACGACAGCATTCTCATTATACATACGCATACAAGGATTCTTCGTCGTTTTTTTTCTTTGTTTTTGCATGAAATTTCTTTTGCCATTGTCATCGCCGTCGCCGTCGCCGTCGCCGCCGTCGTCGTTGTTGTTGTTGTTGTTTGAGATGAAATTGGGCGAAAGCTACGAATATTTTTGCATACACTTTGACAATATTAAGCGCATTTAAGGCAAGTAAAAGTATTTATTAAGCTGAAAGTGCTTTTGGTTGTTTTAAAACAACGATACACACTTGTTCCATACAATATCGATTGAATATGTGTATCTGTGTGTGGGACTGAATGTGAGAGATAGATTCAAGTCATTTTCTTCATCATTTTATTTTGTTTTCTCCCATTCACCAACCATAAATAAAACACTCGCTTCGCAGCGATGACACAATACGCTCAAGTAATCTGATATGCATGGAACTACATTTTTCAGTAGTGAATTGAATAACATTGTTTGATCATGATGGCGATGATGACGATGATGGTGATGATGAGCTACCGTTTAATAGAAAAACGAACCAAACAACCCAGCACACAACCCCACCGATAGAGAACGAAAGAGTGATACGGTGTCGAATGGAAAGCGGCATACATAAATTTTATTTAATAAATACTGTCATCGTTGTGTCGTGACATCAACATTCCACTATGCGATACAGTGGAAACGACGGACTAAAAAGGGTATTAAACTACTAAATAAAATGTTGATATTTACTTTTAAAGCTTTAACCGTCACGTTCGTTGCTCTTTTTTTACTGTTTTCAACTCTTTCGCTCCCCCGCTCCATCTCCTTTTTCCACTTTCCATCTCTCTCTCTCTCTTCCTGTCTTTTCCACTCTCTGGTTCTGTTTTCTCTTTTGAATGCCATAGATTTACAACAGTTTAGCATTTTCACAAGCTTAGAAAATCGGCATGCACTCAGTAAATCCATTGCATATATCGAAATGATTTAAATTCGTCCGAATAGTTTATCGTGTGCATACCGATAAACATCCACCCAAAATACAAAATAAATTATACATTAAGCTAAAGAGGATTTTATATTTTATTAGCTTTGCTGTTGCTGCTTTTGGATGAACATTTGCCGCGGCAAAAGGTGATTAGACGATAAAATGTATTCGAAAATACCAAATCCAATCTACTAAGAGCATGCTGATAAATAACCGGATTGCAGGTGCATCATGGTTGGAATTACTTTGTATATTTTTCATGAAAAATATGAAGTATTTTCAACATTTAAGCTGATGCAATGGATTTGGTTGAATTTGTTAAATAGAAAATAATGCCATATTCACAGCTTCAACACGGCTAATCTCTTCATTGATACAAACTAACAAAATGTTATTTGCAAATTCGATGGAAATACATATATTCCATCAACTAAAACCTACAAGATTTCGTCATTTTTTTCGCTGGCTTTCCCTTGAACTCCCTTTTGCCAAATGATGATAGCTTGAACGTGATGAAAGACTTTGGATCGGTTGCAAGTGAAAGAACCGAATATTTAAAGTAGTAAAGTGATGTGGCGCAAATGGTGAATCAGCTAGGCAAAAGGGTGGAAAAGCTGTTGTTGCAATAAATCAAGTCTCGGTTTTAATTAAATCGTGTGCACCGTGTTACCATTTCACATTGAAGTGCATGCTGCTAGTTGATTCGTAGCAAAACCGACATTGAAATTAGAAAAAAAGAAGAAATCTCAACATAAATTTCAAAAGAACATTTTCAGAAAAACCATCATTTGTGCGGTCAAAGTATAAGACATTGAAAATGTTTCGACATTTTCCAACAAAATTTTTTCGCCAAACAAACATCGAGGATGAAATAAATGAAATAAAGGTCGGAATTGTGAATGTGTACTCCCTGCTCAAATTGGCCAAAGTGAGTGATGGACGACTGCACATAAAGCCGATAGCCGATAGCCGATGTCCGCAAATAACACTAAATTACATTTGAAAGAAATACTCAATAAACAAAAAAGGGGTATTTCAGACTTTCTTCTATTTCATTTTTTCTCTCGGCAATTTTGAACAGCCACATTTATCTTTCGACCGTAATGGCCTAGACAAAAACATACCGGAAAAAAGGATTCGCCAAAGAGTGCACGACCGAAGAGTTTTTCCTTTTCGGTACGACGTTTTTTCTCGTATGACCCTAACTTAATAACAAATACGTTAGCCAATAATCATATATTTACCAACGACTCGACTCAACAACCCGAACACGATAGATTTCATTCAATAAAAAATACAAAAACACGGTATGCATTGCGAGAATCAAAAGAAGGGGTTTAAGAGTGATTTCAAACAAAACTTTCGGCCAATAAATGGTTTACGCAGAAAACAATTTGTTTCAATCATTGTTTTTACTTCGTATAACGAATCACTCTTAATAATTTTGTAACAGATGTATACGCATTGCAATATTGGGTTGCAAGTTACTTTGAATGAAGCGGTCTTTTGCGTGATTTCACATTTTATTTTTTAGCGATATTTGAATAATAATTGAAGTGTGTCCGGACATTATTCAAGTTCATGTTGAACCAACACGTTTGGTGACAAACTCATCACTTTTCACAATCTTAAATAAATCTTCAAAATCATGTAAAAATGGTCTCTAAAAAAGTTTTGGCTCTCAGATTTTCCAAGATATGTTTTTCTGAATGAATGACATCTAACGGACATGG